GTTACTTCTATAAAGCTCCTTAAATTTTTGGTATCTGATAGCAAGTGTCAGCATTCACTATAGCCAATGGGAAAGATATGAGTTAAATGTAATAGAAAAATTCAGAAACAAAGTCCATTTAAATACATGAGGTCTAGTGACCTATGTACAGATAAAATAATAGTATTTTCTGCTAGTAAAAGTATTTCCTTATGTGCATCCCCAGGTGTCCACATGTTTGAAGTGTCTGAAATGTTTCAAAAAGCAAACTCTGTTATTACATAAGGAATGCAGCTGAATGGGACAACCAGGGACAGTGGCAGGAGCTCTGGTAGCATAGTGCCTAAGGTACTTGACTGCTAACCGGAAGGCTGGTGGTTCAAACCCACCAGCCACTCCTCGGAAGGAAGGTTGGGCAATCTACTTCCACAGTGATACTTCCTCGGAAGCCCAAGGAGGGGTCGCTATGAGTCGGGTCTGACTCGACGGCACACAACAACACAACAACACAGCCACCACCAGGGCAAGAGGTAATGAGACCTGGACCAAGGTGGTCACAGTAATGGATGGGGGGAAAAGGAGAGAGATCAAGAAATCTAGGAGGCAAATGAAAGAAATTAGTGTCTTATTGGACATGGATGGTGAGAGAGAAGTCTTTGGGAGTTGTCTTGTCTTGTCTTGGGTAGTTAGGGGTGCTATCAACCAAAACAGAGGAGAGCAGAGTTGGGTGTTGGGTGAAGAAGGATGTGGACTGTTTTGAATATCTTGAAGGTAGCTTGAAAGACTGTCATACTCCCAGATAGAGAGGTCCAATGGCAGTTGGAAATACTCGATATAGGCTAGGCCTGGTGACATGGGTGACCAGGACATGAGATAGTCCAGGGAGAGAGAGGAGAAGAGGAAAGCTAAGGAGGAATCTTAGGAAAGATCAACATTCTGAATTAGCCAGGCAATAGGAGCCAGTAAAATATACTGAGGTCGGGGGAAACACACACACACACACACACACACACAGAGCCCTGTTATCATCAAGTCAATTCCAACTTATAGCAACCCCATGTGTTACACAGTAGAACTGCTCCGTAGTGTTTTCTTGGCTACAACCTTTAGGAAAACAGATTGTCAGGCCTTTCTTCTGCAGAGCTGCTGGGTGGATTTGAACTTTCAACCTTCAGGTAAGTAGTCAAATTCAAACCATTTGTACCATCCAGGGACCAGAGATAGGGAAGAGATAGGAAAAAAAATAGCAAGAAAGTGCCATGCTGTGAGATCTACCAGTACCATTTCAGGTCAGAGGGAGCAGTCACCACAGCTGATGTCCCAGAGAGATAAGTTAGACCATAGCTGTTGGTTTTACTGATTTTATTAATTTATTGGTTTAACAATAAGAAGACAAGAGAGCTCTGAGGGCAAAGGTTAGGAACTTGGGTGTGTAGCTAACTGAAAGTAGCAGGGTATTACACAGTAGGGAGTGATGGGGACTGTGGGAAACCTCAGAGCACATGCCCCACTTAAGAAAGGTAGCTATCTCTCAGCTCTAGTTAATCATTGTCAATTGCCATTCATCAAAGCATCTGAATTTTCAAGAAAAGCCAGAGATCTGGATTTTTATATGAAATCTAACAATTTTATATGCTACCAATTATATAAAAAACTTTCATACTCTTCCCTTTCCCACTGCCATCAAGTTGGATCTGATTCTTAGCGACCTCTCCTTGGGTTTCCAAAGCAGTATCACTACAAAAGTAGATTGCCCAACCTTCCTTCCGAGGAGTGGCTGGTGGGTTTGAACCACCAGACTTCTGGTTAGCAGTCAAGTGCCTTAGGCACTATGCTACCAGAGCTCCTTTCATACTCTAGGAGGGCTGAATTAAACACATACTCAAGCTACTAGTCTGAAATCTCTCTCTTAGTTAATGTCAGCATGATGGGGGCTAATGCAGTTATTTTACAGATTAAGTGATTGGACAAGGAGTAATAAAGTGGAGAGAATTAATATAAACCATTCTTTTAAGAAGTTGGGGATAAAGGAAGGGAGAAGGTGAGCAGAATTTGGGAGGCAGACAGAATTTGTTTTGGATTAGGAGAGTTGTTTACAGGCTGATAGAGAGATGTTGAGGACCCAGGTGAGGAGGGGCAAAAAGGGATGGATGAGTCCAGAAATTAAGCTGCATGAAGGATTCCTTTTGTTCAAAGACGGATTATAACAAGGGTAAGGATGCAGAGGACTAGAAGGAAGGAGGTGGGAAGTTGACGGATTTCATGCCTGGTGGCCTTTATTTTCTTGGGGAAGTGGGGTAGGAGATGGATTAAGAGGCTTGAAGAGAGGGGCAGAGGTTAGGAATGGCATTGAGGGACACAGGAAAGAACTCTGACAAGGGTGAGTGGAGGGCTGCTGCACTTCTGAGATCTGCTGAGGGTGGGAACCCTCCATTTGCACAGTTGGGTGGTTTTCTCCAGAGGGGCTCATGAGCCTGGGTGCTGGGTTGACTGTATGTGTGTGCGCGCACATGGGAGTGAGGGTATATTGAGTCCCTGTTACCTTCCAGGCCCTGTGTGAGGTGGTTTATTCTCTTTACCTGTTTTTTTCTCCCCAACTACCCTATTCACTCAGGTTGAGTTCACTCATGAGTAAGTGGAACTCTGAAGCTCACATTCGTGTCTAGCAGGATTGAAAGCCCATTGGGCACCTTGCCTCCACCATAACCCTCTGCCACACTGCCTCCCACCATATCCTCTGCAGAGGTCATCCAGCAGAGATGAAGATTTGGCCAGTGGATTCTTGTTTGCGCATCGGCTTTCTAGTTTGATTGAGAAGACAAAGAGTAAGAAAGTGGAGGGAGTAATGAAAGAGTAGTTGAAATAATTGACCATTGGTGGGATCCATGGAGAAAGAAATGAGAGCAGAAAGGGCTGATAAACTAAGGGGATACAGAGGCTGAGAGGAAGGGGAAGACTTGATGACATCCAGGAGACAGTCAATGAGAGCTTGAACCAGGACAGGAGCAATGGGGTTGGTGAGGAGGGAACATATTCTTGAGAACCTGCAATATGGAGTAGAAGTGAGGAAAAAGGAGGGCATGAGGATGACTCCAGGGTGTCTAGCCCATGCAGCTGGGTGGACAGTTATGCCTTTAATCAAAATCTGACCTTGCTTATCTCTTCAAATTCATGCCTGTGGTAGTTAAATTTGTGTGTCAACTTGGCTGGGCCTGGTTGAGTAACTGGCAGCTGAATGTAGTTATTCCAAACAGAATTTGTTTTGGATTAGGAGAGTTGTTTATAGGCTGATAGAAAGAGAGATGTTGAGGACCCAGGTGAGGAGGGGCAAAAAGGGATGGAATGAGACTAGTAATCAACTCCATGGTGGAATCTACTGTGAGCAGCTGAGTAGCTGCCCTAGGGATGTGGTCTGCTTCCTGTATATAAGCAGAAGCCTTGGGGAATGGTCACTAGCTTATGGCACGCTTGAACCCCACATGTAGCTATGTTGTTGTTCAGCAGCCTCCCATGCTCTGTTGACCTTGGGACTTTCAGTGGACTTGAGTTAATGGCCTGCCATGTGGTTTGGTAATATCAGGACTGTGCCATTTTATTTGTTGACCTTGGACTTGTTATCCTCAGCAGCTAGGAGCTGCCTGAGTAAAGAGATGCCTCTAGCTTCAGTGGGCCGGGAGCAAGAGGCAGAGCTGAAGCCCAAGGTTGAGATGCTTTCACACAGCCCCTAGAGCCTGGCACTTTGAACTCGGACTTCTAGCCTCCCGAACTGTAAGAGGATAAACTCCTGTTTGTTAAGACCATCCCATTTGTGGTAGTATATCCTTGTCAGAGTGGCACCAGGTAGCCAGAACAATGCCATACTATGTTCAACCTTGCTTACCATGTCTAACCACACTAACCAGCACATTTTCACCTCAGAGATCTTTGAAATATTTAAAGCACTCCTCTTCTTTCTCACTTTTCTAGTCACCATTTGAATGTTCCCTCCTCAGAGAGGCTTTCCTTGGTCATGCCCTATAGTGTAGCTTCCTTTAGTTATTTTATTTTCTTCAAAGTATGTATCACTATCTGAAATAATCATTTATATATTTACTTACTTGTTTGTTATCTGTCTCTTTCACACAACAATATATTGAGAGAGCACAGACATATAAGCCTTCACACCTTTATTTTCTAACATCTAGAACAATGCCTGCTATGTAGTAAGCATTCATAAAACATTGAGTGGAAGAAAAAGTACATGAATGAATGGATGGATGAACACAGAAGACATGTGTTCAGGAAAAGTATGGGTTCAATGTTAGAATCCTGAGTTTTGAGGTGCCTGGGAGATACCCAAGAAGTGCCATCCATTGAGTGGTTGGAAAGCAGGCTGGAGTTCAGGACCCTTGATCTCTCCACCTGTGAAGAAAGTGGGCCCACATGGCACTGCCACAAGCATGGCCTTTTGTATAGCTGACTACTCCATCAGTGCACTGGGAGTAGACTGGTATGTGGCCCTGTGAGAAAAGGAGCCTTGGTGGTGCAGTTGTTAAGCATTCAGATGCTAACCAAAAGGTTGATAGTTTGAACCCACTAGCTGCTCTACAGGAGAAAGATGTAGCTGTCTGCTTCTGTAAAGATTACAGCCTTGGAAACCCTATGGGGCCGTTCTATTCTGTCCTATAGGGTTGCTATGAATCAGAATTGACTTGAAGGCAACAGGTTTGGTTTGGGTTTGTTAGGCTGAAACTGGGTCAGAGCTTTCTCATTTTACTTTTCTATTCTGTGACATGGGTTTGATGCTGCCCTGGGAGTCCGAATCAGACTAAATCCTTCCATCTCTTTTATCTCAAAGAATATCTTTCCCACATCCAATAAACAGTGATATGAATTCAGCCTCACTCAGAAGCTGGACTTAGTTCTACTGAATTAGGAAATATTTCTCCCTTGTCTTTGGTTCCTGCTCCATTTCTATCAGCTTTATGGCCCTCCCACCTGCTCCAGGGCACTCAGCAGACCCTGCTGCTTTCCATTTGCAGGGTCTCCAGCTGCTGAGCAGCTCCAGGACATCCTGGGGGAGGAAGATGAGGCTCCCAACCCCACCCTCTTCACAGAGATGGACACTCTGCAGCATGATGGAGACCAGATGGAGTGGAAGGAGTCAGCCAGGTGAGGTGGGAGCACCAGGAAGGAGATGGGGGTAGGGGTGCTTCCTACTGTGATCCAGGCTGGGCTAAACTTCCTGGTGGGAAATGTGACCAACCAATGGCACCTCACACCTTGAGTTCTGCCAGGGAGCTTCCTGATCCCCAAAGACCCTCCTACCTGCCTTCCTTGATGTCTAGAACTGTGTTGGACACTAAGGCGCAAACAAAAATTTATGACTGTGTATTTATCCTCAAAGAACTTAAAATTGAAATGAGAAGGTAGAACCCATGAGACCATTACAGAATAATACAAGGGCATTTATTCTTCAATGTCAAATAGTTTGAACTAAGTGCTATGGGAGAAAGGAAGGTATCAAGTGGGCTGGGGTAGATAGGGAGGCTTCTTGGAGGATGAAGAATATATGCCAGGCATGTTGAATCTGAATGAATGGCAGCAAAAATCCAGATGAAGATGTCTAGAAAGCCACTGAAGAAAGGGACTTGGCAGAGTTTGAGACTGGCACTGCAGAGTTAGAGCCCTGGAAGAAAGCATAGGGAGCAGAAAAACTCTGTATATAGGGGCAGCAGAAGGAAGAGGAGAGCCAGAAGGCTGGAGGGGATCCACAACGGTGAAGTCATGGGAGGATCGAGGGGAGGAGTGGGGCTGCGTCTAGGACAGAGCAGCCTCTGAACTGAACTGGATTGGTCAGCAGCTCCCAATGCTGCAAAGAGCCCAAGGAGAAGGATATGGTGGGAGGCAGTAGGAGCGGCTGGTGAAAGGAGGAAGAACCCTGGAAAGGAGGTTGAGAGAGTTGGAAAGATGGACTACATAGATGTTTTTAACCTTTTTGGAATTATGTCTCCCTCTAGAAAAAATAAATAAATAAATAAAATAACTTCATTAATATTTAATTTTGTTTATTTCTAATGAGAGAAATAAAATACTAAGGAATGAGAATTTGTCAGATAGTGTCAAGCTTTGGAGCATTGCAACCATTGTGGTATCTAAGATTTTTTGCTTCCCCAAGAACCAAGTTTTGCCCCCTTGAGGGTGACATTGCCCTAGTTGAGAATGCATGGGACCAACTCCCATCTGTGCCCAGGACCGGTTCTGCTTGGGGGCCATGAGAACTCCCGGAGCCTGCCCAATTCACTGCCATTGAGTCGTATCCGACTCCTAGCGACCCCTCCTTGGGTTTCAGAGTGGTATCACTACGGAAGTAGATTGCCCAGTCTTCCTTCCGAGGAGAGGCTGGTGGGTTTGAACTGCCAGCCTTTTAGTTAGCAGTCAAATGCCTTAGGCACTACACCAGCTGCCCCAAACATGGCCTGGGCTCCTCCCTTGTCCATTTCTATCATCCAGGAGGGGAACCTTGGCTGTTGCTATTCAGTGTGGGAGGGAGCAGATTGACATCCCCTATCTTCCCCTCTCAATTCTCAACTGGACTGGAGTTTCTGGAAGAAAGTATCGGGGTAGACTAGCAAATCTAGCCCTAGCAAATGTAGCCCTTAGGGAAGGAAAGAATCCCTAGTCCTATATCCTGAGCTTTGCTGACCCAGTCCCTGTCTGGACAGTTGAGCCTTTTCCCAGTAGCCTTTCATTAAACCCTTATTGTTGCTAGCTGCTGTCTAGTTGACCCCTACTCATGGTGACCCCAACTATAATGGAACAAAATGGTGGCTCATCTTGGCATTATCCCCATGATGACTCACCGATCTTACAGTTGTCAACCATAGGAGTTTTAGTGGCTTATTTTCAAAAATAAACCCCAGATTTTCTTCCTACTCCATCTTAATCTGGAAGCTCCAGTGAAACCTTGTTCGGCATTATAGCAATTTGCAAGCCTCCACTGACAGACTGTGGGCCTTTACAAGAAGTGCATTGGCCAGGAATCAAACTGAGGTCTCCTGCAAAACACACAAAAAATGCAACCACTGCTGTGGAGTCAGATACGACTCATAGCGACCCCTCCTTGGGTTTCTGAGGCAGTATCACTACAGTAGATTGCCCAGCCTTCCTTCTGAGGAGTAGCTGGTGGGTTTGAACCTCCAGCTTTCTGGTAAGCAGTCAAATGCCTTAGGCACTATGCCACCAATCTCCTACTGAATCACCACTGCTTTCCACTTAGCCCTTAATCATTCAAGTAAGTAAATGTGCAAAATGACTCACAGGCTCATCTCTTTCAAGGGGCAATAGCCCCTAGGGAAAGAGAAACTGTTATTATTCCTGTTTTATAGAAGAGGATACAAGGGTTTAAACAAAACAAAACACTGCCATTGAGTCGATTTCAACTCATAGCAACATTACAGGACTGAGTAGAACAGCCCCTTTGTGTTCCAAGGCTGTAAATCTCTATGGAAGCAGACTGTCTCATCTTTCTCCTGCCTAGCAGCTGGTGGGTTCTAACTGTCGACCGTTTGGTTAGCAACTGAATGCTTTAACCACTGTGCCACTAGAGCTCCTACAAAGATTTAAAGGAACAAATGACTTAGCAAGGGTCAGAGTACGCAGGTAGCTGAGTGTGGGCTGGGGCCCAGGCCTGTCTGATTCTCCAACCTGGGGGCTTAAGCACCTTGCTTCCATTCCCCATTTTGTCAACAACTTCTCTCCCCCTCCTCTAACTTCCAGGGACTCTGTTCTGACTTTGAGTGGAGGATGTAAATCTGGAGGCAATTCTAATTCCATTGGGGTAGGAGAGAAATGAGAACAGCCTCAGAGCCCAGGACAACTACCCAGGCTGACAAGTGGGGAGGGGGCCATCACAAATGACCAGGGCTGAGCCTGGGCTATCATTACTTAATGCCTCAGAGGGGCTGGTCAAGGGCCTCTTGACCAGGGCTGCCTGCCCTGGTCAAGGGCCTCTCAGAGGCCCAGGAGGGAGAAGGTGCTTCTCCCTATTTTGGGCAGTGACTATACCCATGTTATTGTTATTATGTGCCATCGAGTCAGACCCGACTCATAGTGACCCCTCCTTGGGTTTCTGAGGCAGTATCACTACAGAAATTGATTGCCCAACCTTCCTTCTGAGAAGTGGCTGGTGGGTTTGAACCACCAGCCTTCTGGTTAGCAGTCAAGTGCCTGAGACACTACGCTACCTGAGCTCCTGACTATACCCATAGCCCCTGGCAATTGCCAGAACCAGGCCCTCCCTGAGGGCCCATCACACACCTATCACTCACACCCACAGAGCTCCTACTGAGAAGACCTCAGGGCCTTCAGAGACTAAGTTGACTATCTGCATAGACAAAAACAAACAAACAAACAAATTCACTGCCCTGGAGTCCATCTCAACTCATAGGGACCCCTCCTTGGGTTTCCCAGGCAGTATCTCTATAGAAGTAGATTGCCCAGTCTTCCCTATTCTCTCTGTGTGTGGATTCACCCAGCTCTCAGCACTACCAAAATCAAAACCAAATCTACTGCCATCAGTTGATTATGACTAATAGCATCCCTACAGGGCAGAGTAGAACTGCCCATAGGGTTTCCAAAGCTGCAAATCTTAATGGAAGTAGACATCCTCATCTTTCTCCCACAGAGTGGCTGTTGGATTTGAACCACCAGCCTTTGGATTAGAGGCCAAATGTTTTGACCACTATGCCACTTGCTCTTCTTTCAGCACTACAGAGCCCTGCAATGAAATTGATAGACTGTAGATAAGGATGTTTCTAGAAGGAGACTTCTCCAGAAATATAAAGGGGCCCTGCAGGTACTGTCCGCAAGGTGATAGGTTTCACTACAAGACAGGCTTTTTGAGAACAACATCTGAGGAGACCCTGGAAAGTTCTCAATATGACCTGGCTCAAACCAAGAGTGAAAGAAAAGTGGTATCTAGAAGTAATTGAACCCAATTCCAAGCAGATCCCACAGAGGAGTAGTTTGAGGACCAACTCAGGAAGCAGTCAGAGCAGAGGAGCTGAAGGCTTCCACTCATCTGAGTCCCCTTTCTTTACTTTTGCTCCAACCTACTTTAACCTTCTCTCCAGCTATTATTGTTGGGTACAGTCAAGTCAGTTCTGATTCATAGCAACCCTGTGTACAACAGAACTAAACACTACCTGGTCCTGTGCCATCCTCACAATCATTGCTATATTTGAGCCCATTGTTGTAGCCACTGTGTCAGTCCATCTCATTGAGGGTCTTCCTCTTTTTTGCTGACCCTCTATAGCTAACTCCATCGAATTTCCAGCTGATTGTGGTGAGCTTTTAATGAGGTCGAAGAAGGGTTTAATCTTGTCCAGGAACTCCACTGTGGCATGGACACTTTTTCTAGACACTATAACAGAAGAGGTGCTTTGGAACAGGCCTATTTGGGGTGTCACCCCCAAAAAAGAATGTGAAGTATTCCTTCAGCTAACAGACTGGGATCCACAGGGAAGCTAGAGGTCTCAGAAGTTTCCAGAATCTAAGAATCAGAAAATCCTAGTGAGTTTTGGCCTCCATAGAGTAACAGGAGTAAAAGATGTGTGTGGTGATGGAACAGATACTTAGGCCCTGGGAGAGTAATAGGTTCAACTATAACTACATCAAAAAGAAGGGGAGAGGGGACCCTTTAATAAAAGTATTTAGTTTGCTACAAGGAGTGTTTGCTTTATTGAGTTAGGAGATTAACAGAGTGAAAATCTCAAATCCGCAAGGAATTTTCCCCGGCGGTGCTTTGTGGGGGTTATTAGTTTGGGGGATGTTTTGGGCCCTTGAAGAAGGAGTCCCTCCTGGACAGATTTAAGTGGCTTTTGAGCTGTGCTGAGCCTTGCTCCTGTGTACATAAAGGGGACAGTGTGTACCGACATTGTTTCTGATGTGATCAATGTGGGTAGGTCAGACGGTTAATAACATAGATTTTTATTAACTCTGTCTCTTAGTATTTCCCTAAGGGAAATGTAGCTTTGCTGATAATGACCTTGCCTGAAGGGAGGGCTGGATCAAGTGAGGTGGGAGCCACCCTCTCTCTGAGCAAACAATTTACCCAGAATTCTGTTCTGTCTCAAGGGGAGGGGAGAAAGGGAGAGAGACCTGGGTTGGAG